AACATTTTAGCTCAACTATTTTTTTTAACTCAATTTTAACTCAACCACACTATCATCAATATTATTAATATAACTTAATAATATCAATCAATCAATCATGCACACCACATCAACCTTAATTCACTATTCATCCACTCACATTATTTTAACTAACCATCACTTCAATCATCTCTCTCTCCTATTTTTATATCAAATTAATTTTAGTTATTTTATTTTAAATATTATATTAATATACCAACTAAGGGCATCCATAACCCAAATACACAACTCTCATGCATTCAATTAAAAAGTAACACTCTCTCATCCACATCATCTCTACATCATTTTTTCACTAAATCTCTATTCATTTAAACACATACCAACATTCATATCCATTCATTTAAATACATATATGAGACCCATTATCCACTCATTCAATATAAATTTTAATATTAATTATCAATAAAAATTAAAAATTAAATTTTTTAAATAATAATAATAAATTTTAAATGAACGAAAATAAAAAAAAGACCCTAGAACAAAATAACTTAAATTAAGATTACATAAAAATTGAGCAGTTGTTTATTGGTTCAAAACAAGTATAAAACTGATGTTTATTTTATAGGCAAAGAATACATATAGAGATTTTAAATAATTGATACATATTGAGTAGTATGATATATATAAAATTTAAATTTATCATCATTGAGAAGGGTGATATAGATAAAATTGAATTAAACATATAAAAAAATGATTAAAATTAAAGAGAATAAAAAAATAAAAAAAGCGCCAAAGTGCATTAAGATTAAATTAAAACATAAAAAAAAAAGAGGCACAAAAGTGCCATCCAATTGTGTGAACGGACTAGTGGGGGTCCATCCCTAAATGAATGGCCACAACACACTGAACAAAGTTTGGCTATTTAAACGGGGAAAATTAGTGTCTCGTTATGGATTTTTTAACAATTAATCATACAATTTTTTTCAAAATTAATCAAACCAAACAAAAAAAATCCAAACAAAACCACAAATGTCCATAAACAAACATACTCTTCAATTCTTGTGAATGATTGATTGTTTGGTAGGCCATTTTAAAAATCTATCAAAAAACATATGATGGCCTTAATATTTCTGCTTATTATATACAAGATTGCAATTTTAGTCTAGCAATTTAAGCCGCTTTCAATTTTAGTCCAGTAATTTAGATCGATTCAAAGTTGGGTCAAAAACTTTAATTCTTGTAGATGTTTTTTTTGTTTTGTGGGTTGCGCTTCGTTTTCTCTCCTCTTTTGGAAGAGTGCGTGAGGAGTATGTGTATCCTCCGGTGGGGGAGTTGTTTATTTTTTCTTTTTCATCGCGGTGTTTAGGCTGCCTTGAGTAATCATCTTATTCTTAGTAATTAGCGGGTTGTAATTATGCGTTTAAATTGTGGAAACAAAAACCGCCTTAGTGTGTTTTGTATGTAAGGCGCCATTGCTAGCAGCAAGTCATGTCTTCAACCTCTCCTATTCTGGCGCAGCCAACACCACATTTCTCCATAAACGCCGACAAGAACCAATACCGGCGGCCGGAAAATCTCACACTACTTATTGAAAATTGCAGATCCATCAAGCGTTTAACTCAAATCCACGCATTCCTCATCCGCCGTGGCCTGGAAACCGAAACCATCCTGAATTTCAAGCTCCTCAAATCATATTCATCTTTGGGACATGTCCAAAACTCTCTCTCAATCTTCAACGCCACGGGAAACCCAAATGTCTACTCCTATACAGCAATAATCCACGGCCACGCCACATACGGCCTCCACGAACGAGCCCTTCGCTTTTACTCGCAAATGTTTACGGAGAAAGTAGAGCCCAACGCGTTCACTCTGTCCGCTGTCTTAAAGGCCAGCGCGTTGGAGACCGGAAAATCTCTTCATTGCCATGCTTACAAGCTTGGGGTAGAGTCGAACAATTACGTCCGGACCGGACTTGTTGATGTTTATGCAAGGGGCGGAGATGTTGCGTCTGCCCGTAAGGTGTTCGAGACAATGCCTGAAAAGAATATGATTTCCTCGACAGCAATGATCACCGGTTACGCGAAGAATGGGGATATCGACGAGGCAAGAAAGTTGTTTGACTCAATGGACGAGAGGGACGTCGTGAGCTGGACCGTGATTATTGGCGGGTATGCTCAGCACGGGAGTCCTAATGAGGCTTTGACGCTTTTCAGAAAGATGATGAGATCAGGATTGAGGCCGAATGAAGCAACTATGTTGGCTGTTCTCACCGCTTGTGGTCAAGTGGGTGCACTTGAGTCGGGCAGGTGGGCCCACTCCTACCTTGCCCATAGCAAAACCTGTACAATTGATGCTCGGGTTGGATCGGCCTTAATCGACATGTACGGGAAATGTGGGAGTTTGGAGGACGCGCTTTCGGTGTTTGATGGGATTAGAGATAAGGATGTGGTTGTGTACAATGCCATGATCGGGGCTTATGCAATTCACGGGCTTAGTGGGGACGCTTTGAACCTGTTTCGGGAAATGAGGGAAAGCGGCCTCCCACCGACTGACATCACATTCATCGGTGTTCTTAGCTCGTGCGCTCATGCGGGGGCCGTCTCGGACGCATGGACTATCTTCGATTCAATGGAGAAGGAATACGGGATGAAGCCAAAAGTCGAGCATTATGGGTGCATGGTGAACCTTCTGGGCCGGGCTGGGAGACTGGACGAGGCTTACCGGCTTGCCACGAGTATAGCCGAACTGGGTGACCCCGTCCTCTGGGGGACGCTGCTCGATGCGTGCAGGCTCCACAAAAATGTTGGTCTTGGCGAGAAAATATTCGAGCACCTCGTTGAGTGTGGGCAGGCGGAGTCGGGGGCCCACGTGCTCCTATCCAACATCTATGCCGGGTCAGGAGACTGGTGTGGGGTTTCGAGAATGAGGGCCCGGATGAAGGAGTGTGGAGTCCGCAAGGAGCCGGGTTGCAGCTCGATCGAGGTCGACAATGAGGTGCATGAGTTTCTTGCAGGGGACGTGAAACACCCGAGGGCTAAAGAGATCTACGGCATGCTCGGAAAAATGAGCGGTTGGGTAAAGGAGAGGGGATACACGGCCCAGACGGAAGGGGTTCTGCACGACATTGGGGAGTGGGAGAAGGAGCGGTCGCTTGAGGTTCACAGTGAGAAGTTGGCGCTTGCATTCGGGCTCATTAGCACGGGCCCTGGGACCACGGTCAAGATTGTGAAGAATCTGCGGGTTTGTGTGGATTGCCATGAGGTTATCAAGAGAGTTTCAGGGATTACGGGGAGGAAGATAGTTATGAGGGACCGGACCCGGTTTCATCATTTTGTGGGTGGGGTGTGTTCTTGTGGGGACTACTGGTGATTCACTATATTAGTTTCATAAGGAAAAAGAACTACAGTGTGTCAATTTGTATTGTACAATCATTTATGCGTGAAATATTGACGCTTTTTTTCAATTCGATTTTATATGTAGGTTTCATATACACTAGTATCTACTATATAATATCAATTTGTAACATGTACATTTTAGCCTACATCTCTATGGAACTGTTTTTGCTTAGCCCAGCGGAATTTGACTTTGTCATTCAATCAAACCAACATCATACTAGAGTAGATGATTCCTCTCGCAATGGGAGCCCTAGTTTCTCTTGCTGGAGACGAAGAAGTGTCTCTCTTGAAGGCCAATTAGTAGAGATTATTCTCTCATCCCAGCGTCTCAATTCTTATTCAGATTCTGTTCTTTTTAGTTTCCCCCTTCCTTGAATTTTCTCCTCCTTATCGTTTTTCTAATTAGCGTCTGGGGCTTGTGTCGTTTGCAGGTTGAGGAGGACTCTGGTTTTCTTCTTCCTTCTTTAGGTTAACATCTCAGTTTTCAGATATGGAAGCCGACATCGTTCAGAAACTAACCTCGATCCAGCTCTCCAATAAAGAGGCAAATCTTCTAGCCATAAATCTTGAAGATATTCATAATAGTGCTGAAATCTGTAAAAGGAGTCTCTTTGGAAAAATTCACGGCCAAAAGAAAGCTCAATTGCCGGGACTTAGAAGGGCAGTGGGGATTATCTGGCAAATTTGCTCTTCTGTCTCCATAAGAGAAATTAGCACCAATTATTTTCAGTTTGTTTTTGATGATATTGAAGACAAAATCAAAGTCAGTAAAGGAACAGCATGGATCTTTGAAAATCAATTCCTCATCCTCAGAGATTGGCAGGAGGACCTACATGCAAATCATCCCAGTTTCAAGGAACTTGATATTTGGGTGCAAGCTTGGAATCTCCCACTTGACTGGTGCTCTACTGAAGTTGGTGCAAAAGTAGGAAGTGTCTTCAACAAAGTTATCAACGTATCTATCCCCCAAACAGGATGGCTTGCAGGTAAATGTATCCGGCTACTCGTCTCAATTGATCTCGATCAACCACTACTGCGATGTGCCTCACTCCAGCTTCTGGATAAAAAGATAGTTGTGGTTTTCAAATATGAGAAGTTGGTTAGCCTTTGTTTTTACTGTGGGGTATTGGGGCATCTAGACAGGAATTGTGAAGTCAGATCAGAAGAAATCTCTAAAGGCACAGTGAAAGAAGGACTCTTTGGGGACTGGCTTAGAGCCTCAGACTATCCATATCTCAACTCTCAGTCACCTTCAAATTTTAACCCAGAAGCTCCCCCTCAAAATTCTTCTACACCTTTAAATCCTACTGCCTCTACTAAAATACCAATTCATACCTCAATTCCTTCAAGCCAAACTTCTAAATCCCTAAATCCACAATCCTCTGACCATGATGATACCCCTCTAAATCCTACCCCTCTTCATCCAGTAACAGATATTCAACCCTCAGAAACTCAATCAGATCTTATGATAGAGGAACCTATTCCTCCCCCAGATATTACTAACCAAATTCTTCCTCTCACTCTTCATCCTCAAACTACCTCTTCTATTATCTCTAAACCTAAAACATGGAAAAGAATGTCAAACCAGAAACCTAAATCAGAAAATCTCCCATCAAGCCCATCGCCATCTATACCTTCAGGTACCAACCACTCTGGTAAAAGACACCTTACCATCATTTATCCCTCTGATTCCCCTATCTTGAACCAAGAAGATCCCAATTCTCAGTCATCCCATTGTCCTAAAAAGCAGAAAGTTGACTTATCAGTGGTGAGGGAGGCCAGCCCTGAATGGCCCCACCCCCATCAATGAACACAATGTTTTGGAACTGTAGAGGGTTGGGTGGCCCCTCTACAGTTTCCCAGCTTAAGGAGTGTGTTAGACTCCACACCCCAATTTTAACCTTTTTGTCAGAAACAAAAAAAACAACAGCTTTGTTAAGACTGTCTGTAGAAACTTAGGTGTTGGGGATAATTGGTCTTCTTTTGAGCCTAGTGGTAAGAGTGGAGGTCTCCTCCTGTTTTGGAACTCTTCCATTACTATTTTGCAAATTCTGAAGTGCTCCTTTTGTTTTCAAGTTAATTTTTGGGATCCTAATCTGCAAGCATCTTGTTGGGGGATTTTTATCTATGCTAGTACTGACGCAGCTACCAGATTGGAGCAAAGAGATTTCATTTTAAGTGAGTAGCAGAACTGGGGGAAATATTGGTTCGTTGGAGGTGATTGGAACGAAATTGTATGCCATGAAGATAAAAAGGGAGGTAAACCCAGAGCCACCTCTTCTTTCAAGAATTTTAATGACTTTATTCATCAGCTGGGTGGTCTTGACCTAGGGTTGTTGGGACATCAATTTACCTGGGAGAACTGTAGGGCTGAAGAAGGATATATTGAAGAAAGGCTTGACAGAATTTTTGCTTCTATGGACTGGTCTGCCTATTACTCCTCTGCTCAAGTTCATAATATTTTTAGATCTTCTTCAGACCACAGCTTACTTCTTCTAAAGCCACAATCTGCTCAGAGTCCTCCTAAGAGGAGATTTATTTTCGACCAGAGATGGCTTGATAATCAGGAATTCCAAAAAGTTGTGGAATCTGCTTGGTCTTCTTCTTCTTCTGATGGGACCCCAATGTTCAATTTTCAATCTAAAATCAAAAACACAAGAGTGGAGATTCTGAAATGGAGCAAGAACTTCAATTCTGGCAGGAAGAATAAAGTGGAGCAGCTTCAATCTACTCTTGAACAACTTAGAAATCAAGGAGAAGATAGAGATTGGCAATTGTGGGAGGATGTTAAAAGAGAATTGAACAAAGAAAATAATCTCGAAGAACAGTTCTGGAGACAAAAAGCTAGAATCAAGTGGTTACAATGTGGAGACAAAAACTCCAAATACTTTCATGCCCAAACCACTCAGAGAAGAAAAGTTAATAATATCTCCAGGCTGATCAAGGAAGATGGGTCAATCTGTTCCACCTCTGAAGAAATAACAGAATGCATTGTCGAATTTTACAAGAACCTTTTCACTTCTGAAGGCTCATCTGGTGGGCCTCAAATTTTGAATAACATCCATCCTATTATCACTGCTGAAATGAATTCTGAGATGTTAACCTTGGTGAATGAAGATGAAATCAAAGAATCCCTCTTCAACATTGACGCAAATAAAGCCCCGGGGATAGATGGTATGTCCTCTTCCTTTTTCCAATTTTTCTGGGACACTATCAAAGATGATTTTTGCTCTTCTGTTTCTAGCTTTTTTGAATCAGGTAGGATTCTTAGAAGCCTTAATCATTCCCTTATAACTTTGATTCCCAAAATTAAGAATCCTTCCTCTGTTTCCCATTTCAGACCTATAAGTCTGTGTAGTGTTTTCTATAAGACTATTTCTAAAATTTTGGCTAATAGACTCAAAAAATGGCTCCCCCTTTGTATTAGTGATAGTCAATCAGCCTTCATCTCTGATAGGCATATTTTGGATAATGTTATTATTGCCAATGAATCTTTGCATTTTCTTAATAGGCATAGATCTGGCAAATCTTTTTTCATGGCCATTAAATTGGATATGTCCAAAGCTTTTGATAGGGTTGAGTGGCCTTGTATCAGTCAAATCCTTTGCAAGTTAGGCTTTTGCTCTCAATTTATTAACTGGATAATGGCTTGCCTCTCTTCCTCCGGCTTTTCTTTCAATGTCAATGGTATTCCTTCAGGGTTTGTTCAAGCTAGTAGAGGAATTAGACAGGGAGATCCCTTATCTCCTTACATTTTCATTCTCATTTCTGAAATTCTTTCTAGTCTGATTAAATCTGAAGTTGATAAGGGGAACTGGAAAGGTCTCAAGATTAGCAGATATGGTCCTTCCCTCTCTCATATTCTTTTTGCAGATGACACCTTGCTTTTTTCCCAAGCCTCAAATGATCAGGCTCTTCTTTTGCTTAAAATCCTTCAGGAGTACCAGCATTTCACTGGTCAAACTGTTAATTTATCCAAGTCCTCAATCATTTTCAGTAAGAATACTCCTCCCCACATTCAATCTCAAATTTGCAACACCCTGAATGGCATTTCTGTTCACTCATCCTCCAAGTATCTAGGTTTACCTTTTGGGCTGGGGAAATCCAAGATTGACACCTTTGCTTTCTTGGATAAATCTGTTAAGAAAAGAATCATGAACTGGAAAACCAAGTTTCTCTCTACTGCAGGTAAAGAAGTGTTGATTAACTCAGTGCTGAATGCTCTTCCAGTTTACACAATGTCATGCTTTCTTATTCCAAAGGCAACCAAAGCAAGCATTGACAAGGCAATTGCTGATTTCTGGTGGAACAATGGAGACCAAAGCAAGAAAAATATTCACTGGAAAGCCTGGAATTCAATTACAACTCCTAAGGACAGAGGTGGACTGGGTTTTAAGGACATCAGCCTCATGAATCAAGCACTTATCTCTAAACAGATTTGGAGAATTCTCACTAAACCCAACCTCCTTGTTAGCAAAGTTCTGAAAGCCAAATATTTTCACAAAGAAAGCTTTTTCAACATCTCTAAAAAACAAACCAACTCCTGGCTTTGGAATTGTTGGATTGATGTTAGGGACTCTCTGATGGAGAACTCAAATCATGGGGGGTTCAGGTATGACATTAAGAATGGCAGAAGAATCAACATCTGGAAGCAGCCCTGGATTCCATTTAATCCTAAACTCAAAAACAGTGTTTGCAGACAAGAGCAAAGTGGACTCAACTGGGTCAGTGAACTTATGGATGATACTGGCAGGCACTGGAACTTGGAAACTCTCAACTCAACTTTTTCTCCTTTGGAAGTTAAAGCCATCCTGCAAATCAAAGGGCTTGATCCTCATGGTGCTGACAAACTGATCTGGGCAGACAAGAAATCTATTCACCCTCTATCAGTGTCAGCTGTTTACCTGAGTTTATCTGATAAAAAATGGGCAGACTTAGATGTTGCTGAGAGTAGTTCTGGCCAGAAGATCATAG